TTGTCTTTGTTTCAATTCGTAATTCTTCTAGGTGGATTTAGTTTTAGTTATTCTGTAACAGTTTGGTATTTCGACAAAGGCAATATGTTGAAAGCACCATGTGATGGATATGAAAAAGTTATGATCAAAACAGCACTTGGCGAAAATATTCATTATGGAATATAAGTGAAAGCAGTTTCAGTTTTCTACAAGAGTATGTGTTAGTTGCTTGAAATACTTAGGATTTGCTTCATTATTGAAAACTTTGCGTATTGAATGTTGTTGTGAAGGAACAGTCATCTTTCGTAGTAATGGAATGGTCACAAATCTTTATATGTGAATGCTTATAAGCTTTCAGTAATCAAAGACAAAGCATAGTTTTAACTTTTAAAAATTCTATTCCGATATGAAAAATTTTTCGCAGCTTGTCTTATAAGCAAAAACTACTTTGGGTGCAGATTTGAAATAACTTAAGGAATAATTTTTGTATTACATAAAGTACAAAATGCAATAAAATAGAATCACTAATTCAAAAGTTTGACTGTGACAGTGATTGAGTTAGATAATGAAGGCGTTTGTTTCTTAATAAAAGCTGTAATATTTTGGTAATTTTAATAATTTTTTGTAATTCAGTTCTTGTTCCCTTCAATTTTGTAGAACATTTGAGTAATTAGTGATTATGGTTTTGAAGCTTTAAATGTTAAAAAAACTGAAGCAAAATATCTATTGTTTTGCTATGTTTTTAGCTTAATGGAAAATATTTTTAAATACAAAATGAATGATTTATTTTTGATGATACTTTTTAAGGATATAAGGGACGTAAATTACTTGATATAACTTTGAAAATAGTTTGGATTGGATCAAATAATTTTATGATCTATGGCTAGTAGTGACTACTAGACGTTGTTTCAATTCTATAATAATTTTGAGACTGAATTTTACAAACCAAGTCATGAATCAAAATACCGTATCGATTATTAGTAAGAAATATTTCTCTTGATTATTTTTTAGGATTAATTTGGTTATCCAATTTTTTATAATTTTGCATAAATTTTAGTGTTGATAAAGTGATTTTATTTGTTTACAGATTTTCATAAGGGTTGCTGCAAGCATCTCGACGTATCTCAGATTTATTGTCATGGATGTGATAAGTCAGAAGTCCTTCAAGTATTGCTGAAGGAGTAAAATTGGGAACAGGATTTGCTTATAGTTTTCTGTTAACATTTGATCTCTTAATTGTTTATTGCTTGTTTGTAGATCAAAACACTTTCTAGCATACGAGAAATTCTGTTGACGATTTATTTGATACTTTTCAATAATTAATTTTGTAATTTATCAATTAAAAAATATTAGGAAAATCAGAAATAATTGTAATATCTCGAAATTTTTAAAATTGAATGAAATTGAAAAAGCAAAAACTTTATAAACGAACTTGAAAAAATCATTTTTTGAAAATTGTTTTAGTGAGTGAGCGAGCAGTTTTGAGGTTACTACTGTTAAGCGGTTGTTCTATTTTGCGATATTTATGTTTCAAATCTTATATCACTCATGTTTTTTATTTGAGAATTTCTCAGAGTCAATAATTTGATTGCTGTTGCTCATTTTTGTACACATAAATATGAACTATTATTCTGTTTGCAAATATAGGTTATCTACTTTTTAAAAAGACATGGAACAACATTCGAGCAAATATTATCACATTCTTTGACTATGTATTTAAATCAGAATTAATTCAAATATTTGCTTGCAGATTGTTTTCATTGGTAAGAAATTTTTACCTAATTTCAGAATTGCTTTTGAGATGATTCACAAAATTATGGAATCTGTATAAAATCTTCAAATTTGAAGTTATTTATCATAGAAAAAGTGAAGATTCATAGATATGCATGTATTTGACGCCGTCATAAAAGTTAATCTTGGCATTCTTAAAACATCTTAACGATCTCAACGATGGAAGAGGAATTGCGTATAAATTGTGCGAAATTTTTGTTTTCTTCAAAAAACAAATTACCTCGATAATGACTGTAATTATGAGTTTTGATTCGGTTATTTGGTCATAATTTACTGGTGCAATTTTATATTTCGATGCGGAACTTCTCGGCGATTTTGTTTGTATTCTGGTTGGTAGCGTCAATCCTTTCAGTTAAAGGTATATCTTGATGATATCTTCTACTCTCGATTTGAATATGCCGAGTAGTCAGTCAGTACTTAATTGTCAAGCAAATTTTCGTGTAATATTTGATTGAAACTTGGAATGTTAGTAATGTTTTTAATCTAATGCAGTTGGCTTCATCGATTGTTGACATCAATCATGAAAATGATTCAGAAACTAGAAGGGTTTCATGAATTTTGTCATTTGTTTTAGAGATTCTTTTCTAAACTTTACTTATTTTTTCTAGAAGTTTTCGTATGATCTGAAATGTTACATTTTAGCTTCAGCTATCAGCAAAAGTCGAGAGAATTATACAGTTCAGTATTTCTTTTCCATCAGATGGGAGTTTTTCGAGTTAGACTGGTGGAAAGTACCAGTTGAGTTCAAAAGTTCAAATAATACAAATGACTTCGGTAAATGGAAGATCAAGACGTTTAAATTTATAACTTGACCGTTTTTGAATTGAAATGTCTGCAGTGAATCGAATTCACAAAATTGTGTTATTTAAAATTAGATCTTACCTTTGTCACTTCAGATATCAATAATCTTAGAAAAAGGTAGTGAAAATTTTTGCACTTCAAACAGTATAGTTTAGTACTTAAAAATTTTGTAAAAAAGTTTAAAAATCATAGAAATTTGATTAATTAATTAGTTGTGTCTTTGAGTTCAGATATGGTTTTTAATTAAATACTCGTTAAAATTTTAAAGCTATCGAATTCATCCCATATTTCAGTTTTAAAAGTTTTAACATGTTTTTCAAATAGCAGTAATCTCTTGAGTGCCATTATAAACACAGCTGACCAATAGCAATCGGATTTATCATAAATTATACATATAAATCTTACTGCTATTTGAATTTGGTTAATTAATTAATTGCCAGCTTAGAGTCATATATTCCAATAGCAATAGGATTTATCATAAATTATAGATATAAATAAAATAAAGTTTGAGTAATTTAAAAACGTGCATAATTCCTTATTCAACTATGTTTTGTCATTGTTATTTACAAAAAGTTGAAATGTTATAGTTTATCCAAGAGTTAACTTAGAATCATACATTTATAGTTTGAAATGATTATTCGTATTATTCTTGCTTTTGTCATTAAGCTTATCTCATTTTCCATCGCGATAAACTATAACATTGTAAATAACACTATCCACTTATCCAGCTTCTTTACTCACTTTTTGCCAGTTTAAATATAACGCTGTCAGATTAATAATCTTCATATTTTGATTGACCTAAAAATGAAATCTAATAAATAAACAAAATGAAGCAATTTTTTTGTGCAATTCTGATGTGACCTTATTTATTAAATGTTTTTTCTTTTTAATATTTGTTGTAATGAATATCTCAACTCCGTTACACAGAAATTAGACAAAACTACTAAAATGAATATTCGGCACAAAAAATTCTCTCACTTTGTAGATTATCTCAGCTGCAATGCTTCGATTATTACTTTTCTGCATTATTTTCCGTACAATAAGTATAATATCACCAACAGTATTGGAAAGACAGCGTTTGTTACTATCTTTGTAAAATTTTTTTATACATAAATTCAAATAATTGTAATTATTTTTGCTTAAAGTATTCCTCTACAAGTTTTTATTTCCCGAATGCTATATTTATTTTCTAGGCACAAGACGCAATAGCGATGGATCAAAAAGTCCATACAATCGTTTTGGCCACCATTATGAATATGTATATGAAACACCAACTGTTGCTGAAGAAAAACCAAAACTTTTATTCTCATATGGTATATGCTTACTTATATTAATGCTATACTATAAAGGTTAATATAGTAAAAATTACGAAAAATAACTTGATGTGGTTGAAATGACAATAAAAGTAATACAATAAAATATAACTTATAAAGTAAATATATAACTGAATAATGATTCAATTTCAAAAGGCTAGTAAAATGCAGTATGAAATATTGATATCATTAATCTCTCAAAACAAACTTTTCGTAGCAACTTCAAATCAGCAAATAATTGGTAAAACGAGTTAATATTTGAATAGTGAGATTTGAAAACAAGACGATAAAAGTAGTTGCTCAATGAATACATAAGAATTGTCATACTTGTATATTTTTAGGCAGTATTGGTCCAAACTCAAACACGCACCAAATGTTTGAACAAATTGGAAAAGTGATAACATATCAGCCAAAAAAGCAATCTATATATGTATGTAATAAAAGGATATTTAAAAAACTTTTTAAATTTTTTGGTAAAAGTTTATATATTTTTGAATTTGACTTACTTAATGATTTGTTTTGAAACGAATTTGAATTGAATATTAAAAAAACGACTTGAATTCTGATCAAGTATGTAATTAAATAAGCTTTCATTATTCAGTATTCGGCATGAAATTAAAAGATTTTAGTGCAAATCTAAGATTTCATAGCAGTCATCTGTTTTCCTTCCTCAAGACTAATTTTTTGCTTAGTAATTTTAAAATTTTGATTTTAGCAGAAGCCGAAGCGTTTGAATGATTCAAGCGACGTATTTCCAATGAATCATTCAAAAATGATGAATATTAATCATATTGCTGCTGCTATTAAAGAAAGTAACGATGCTCAGAAACGTGCGCAGAAGGAATATGAAACTGTACGTCAACTTGCAGATGAAATATTCTCTCAAGCTGAGGTACTGTGCTATGTTATTTCTCTAAAATATAAATTTTGCTGATTATTTTCTTTGCTGTAATTTCTTAATAACAATGATCGAAGTATCATTTTACACTAAAAAATATTAAAGTAATCATTAAAACAAGTTTTAAATTGCTGATAAAAATACTAGAAAACTTTTTGATAAAATGATTTGACTGTTGAATTTAGTGTGCAAATTATCAGTAATAATAAAAAATTTACATTTCAGCAACAATTATCGCGATTTCCAACTTTTGACATTCCGCGTTTCCAGCAAATATTTTTGAATGAAGCAATCTCATCACCACAATTAGCAAATAAGATAAATTTAAATAAATTTCCAGTAATGCATAAAAATCACCAAAATTTCGCTCAAAATACCCACAATAAATTTAAAAAGAAGCGTAACAGACGCAAAGACGTAAGAAATACGGAACACAAAATTATTAAATCTGCGAAAAAATATGAGAAATTACGGAACACTAACCGAAAAAAATGGAATAAAAAGAAGAATGCTGACGCAAGTTATCGCATGTTTGGTATTCTGCCTGATTTCGATCCTAGATTTCCGTTTGATCGAGCTTATAGATTGATGGAAGACCTCCGACCTTCCGAATTATGGGAATTTCTACCAGAAACCGATAATAGATGATAAAATTTACTTCTCTTTGCCTTTCATCAAAATTTCTTTTCACTTCTGTAAAATTACAAAAAGCAATGTCAGAAAATTCATGAATTTGCTCACCGAAGAGTAAGTTAACTTCAGTAATTACAACTTACATTTTATGCAAAATACCGAGAAATTTTTGCGCAAGAAAAAAATTTCACTTCAAATTACACGCATATTCATTATTTTTCGAAGTCAAAATAAAAACGTGGAAGACAAGCAATAATTAAGTTGGCACTTAAAACCGTAATATTTTTCAATCAATTTGTCTGAAATTTGCCATGATGAATTTTTTTTCAGTGTTCCGTTATTTCTTGCTTTTGTTGTTGAACTAAAACTAAATATGTTGCTTCAATATCTGGCTAACCCAAGTCATTCTTCATATCTACGCCACTAATCCGAGCTCTTCTTGAACTTTTCACTTTAATTTGTTTCTTTTCAGTGAGCTTTTTGTCCTTAACTACGTGAAACTTGAAAATATATAAATACTCTCAGTAGAAAAGCTATATTTTTTAATTGCCATTATTGATTTTAACAAGTAAAAAACGTGCACAGATACCTGAAGGTTTTCCAAATTTCGATTTGCATAGATAATTTGGTAATTCATAGATAAGCAATATTATTAAATTTCTACAAATTTTGAAGTAAATTTTAATTACGACAAAGGGAATAAATTATTCATAGAGAAATAAATGACTCCTCTCGTCCCCTTTGTGAAGCACGAATTACACTTATCTACCAGAATATTCTCGAATTTTATTTTCCAACAAGCAAATCATTTGCAGAACAACTTTCGTATTTGTACGACGTAAATCCCTTATGCGTGAGACGTACAACGCAGCAGTGGAATCAGTGAAAAAAATTTGCTCGACTTGGAAAAAAAAAGTATGAGTAAAGCACGCATTTCTGCGCAACACACAAAAATAGCCTTCAGGTTGATCTTGTCACTATTTGAAATTTCATCTTTTCATGATTCAAATGTCTTATGAATCATTCCATCCATTACCAAGTTATTGAGTACTTACTTATATAGTGCCGGCATATTCAAAACAATACTCGAAAACTTTTAATCATGATTAATCTCCGTTCTTACAGCAATAATGATATTTCTGTTATATATATTATCAGTCTTCTGAATATTATTGTCGTTGTCTGTGTCGTTGCTGTACTTTCTACACATATAATTTTAAATAAAGCAGTAATTATACCGTTTGAGAGAACCTTAGAATGTCCGTAAGAGCAGTAAGTGCTAATTCTGAGATTCTGTAAAATTCTTGCTAAATCAAGCCTTGGATCAGCTCTAAGGTAACATATACCTGAATTTTGACACTTTTAACTTATTCCCTTGGTCAATTTTTAAAATTTACTCAAACAAACATTAACTCGTTCGATTTAATTTCTTTCAATGATAACAGTCCAAAGACTGAGAAAAGATTGAGCATTTGTGGAGGTCCACTGATGATGGGAGTAAAAAAAAGAAACAAAGTGCTAAAATGTGGTTGAATAAAAAGATTAGCAGAAGATTTTGAA